CCGTATTCAAAAATATGCTATTTTTGTATTAAAATTATGGGTTTTGTATTTTATTTTAATAGAAGTTGATGTTAATTTTGCAATTATCCATCAATTTTTTAAAATTAAACACTATCTACAGATTTGCATCGAAGCGTTTCTTATGATAGTGATTTTAATCACTGTCAGATTAAATCTATCTGGACCCAACTATGTTTTATATATATAAAAGAGACAGCTAGGTTTCCTTGTCCGTTTTTGTACTACGGTTTATTTTAAACTTTTAGTTTACTGTTCAGCGCAGTGCATTACCCACCCGGTCATATAGATACTATCCACGGCGCAAAATAGGAGATTCCAACTTTCTGTGTATCGTTAAACACGGTACAAGTTTAGTAACTCAAAAAAAAGAAATTTTATTAAAAAGATTTATTAATAATATTTAAGAATAAATTTATTAAAATTATTTGTTAATTGTCGGTATTGTATGAGCATGAGAATAGTTGAGTTACTATAATATTTATTGAATAAAAAATGATATAATATAATTATCTCTCGGGATATGAGTACGGGGGTTAATGAGAAGATGTAAAATATAAAAATGCAAAGTGATGTTTGAAAATTTATTAATATAATAATAATTTGAAATAGAAATTATTGTGATTAATTATCACACATAGATCATCAACAACGCTACTCGTACCAATAGTTATGTAGGCTTGTGCTACTTGTGAGTCGAGTCAATAAATACCTCGAGTAGTATAGGAACCACAAGTGGCTTCTCTATCTTCGCAAGAGAGTCTTTATTAGTATTGACTACAAAGGTAACCCATTCAAAGATTAGACTAGGCTGGCTAACTTCGTATAAACGTTATTGATTCTCTTTAATTATTTAGACAATATTTTATTCTAGAGATCACTTTATTTTTTCTGGTTTCCTACTTAATTTATGCACTTATTATATTTAACTTTTAACCTTATGGATTTTTTTGTAGAATATGAATTTACCTTAATGATATCAGGACTAATGTCGAAAAAATGAATATAGTTCAATTTTCTATGTAAAATGGTATTTTATCAAGCCACTTCTTGAATCCGTTGAAAGTTCATAAGATGAAGTAGTAGTGTGAGAGATTGACAGTTTTTATGCCCTTTTATATTAAATTTAATTCATCTATTAATGCAAGAAGTGTTACGACATTTTACTGTTATCTGTTTATTACTCAATTTGTGTTATTTATTACATATTATTTTACTTAAAATAGATAATTTGTCACAACTCAAGAATTTCTTATTTATATATTTTTATGAAAATCAGTGTACTCCCCTTATCAAGTGTTTTAAAATAAAATAAAATACAAAACCAATATTTTTAATAATAGAAAATAACATATTTTTGAATACGTTAGTCATTTTCACCATGAAAACAAGTCCAGATGTCAATTTTTTTCAAATAATAAAGTATATTATATAAGCTTTAATTTAAGATATATATATAACATATTCAAAAGTTAAGTTGAAAAAGTTGCCATATTGAAACCCACTCTGTGAGCAGATAAAGGGTCAAATGTTGACAAAAAAATATTAAATAGATACCTTAGGTAAATACCTAAGGTATCTATAAACAAAAAATTATATTAATTTGTTCAATTTTAAAAAAGCTATGGCAGTGTTAAGAAAAAAAAATTGAAAAAGTGTTGAAAATTACCGATTTTAGCTTCGATGCGAAGCTGAGAAGGTATTAATTTTACCATGATGTGTTTATTTTTTTTTTATTTTTTTTTTTTTGTGTCTGTCACTACTTTTTCTCAGCTCTCACTGGACTGATTTATTTCAACAATACGTCAAAAGATCACAAATCGTATCTAGTTGAAGATATTAACCTTAAAAATTGAAAAATTTTCCCTCATTTCCCGCAAATGGGGGAAATATCCAAAAAAATTACAAATTTTAAAATCGGTAAATTTTGTCATTTTTTTCTCTTTCTTTTCTTAAAACTTCCATAACTTTTTCAAAAATAAACAAATCAACATAATTTTTTTATATACTAAAACCTTAGATATATTTTTTTCATTTAATATCATTTTTTTGAAAATTTAACACTTAACCTGCACACTGTGGTGATTTTAAAATGGCAACTTTTTACAAAAACTAACTTTTTCTACTTAATTTTTGAAAATGTTCCGTAAATACTGCGGCCTTTAAACATATATAAAATTAAAGCTTATTATATGTAATATAAAATTAAAAAAAAAATTTGTCCCGACACTTTATTTTCTTCATGGAAACGGCTGCCGTAGTTAAAAAAACGCTATTTTTGTGTTAAAATTTTCGATTTTAAATTTTCAACTTAAAAATGATATAACTTTTCAAAAAATGTAAGTATCAACACAATTTATTTTTTAAATACATTATACGTACATCTTTCATTTGACATACTTTTTATTAAAATTGGATAATTTCCCCTTATATAGGGAGCGTTCAAAACTTGAAACATTGTATAAAACATAGAACTTTTTCAACTTAACTTTTGAAAGTGTTCCGGAAATACTGCGTCCTTTAAACATATATAAAATAAAGCTGATTATATGTACTATAAAATAAAAAAAAAATTTTGTCCCGACGATCTATCTTCTATGTGCAAATGACCGATTTTAGCTTCGATGCGAAGCTGAGAAGGTATTGGTTTTACTATGATGTGTGTTTTTTTTTTGTGTCTGTTACCACTTTTTCTCAGCTCTCACCGAACGGATTTCTTTCAACGATACGTCAAAAGATCACAAATTGTATCTAGTCGAAGACATTACCCTTCAAAATTGAAAAAATTTCCCTCGTTCCCCGTAAATGGGGGAAACCTCCAAAAAAATTACAAATTTAAAAATCGCTAATTTTCGAAATTTTTTCAATTTTTTTTACTAAAAACTGCTGTAACTTTTTCAAAAATGACCATATCAATATAAATTTTTTTTATATAGATGCTTAATGTCTTTATCTATTATTTGGTATATTTTTTTTGTAAATTTGACCTTTTTTCTGCCCACAGGGGGGGATTTAAAATGACAACTTTTTCACAAAAAATTTACTTTTTCAACATAACTTTTGAAAATGTTCCGGAAGGTCTGACACTTTTATATATATCTTAAATTAAAGCTAATGTAATATACTTTAATTTGAAAAAAAAAAATTTGACCTCTGGACTTGTCTTCACGGCGAAAATGGCTACCGAATGCTATTTTCGTGTGAAAATTCTCGATTTTATTATTTATATTATATTTAACTTTATAATGCTATAACTTATTGAAAAGTTTATGGATCCACACAATTTTTTTATGAGAAATAATATTTTTTAATAAACCCTTTTTCATTCGACATACTTTATCTTAATCGAGATATTAAGGAACCAGCAGATCAAGTAGCTTTTGGAATAAAACACCAATTTTTTTTAAATTAAACACTATCTAAAGATTTGCATCGAAGCGTTTATTTTTGATAGTGATTTTAATCACTGTCATATATCATTATACTTGATCCAACTATACCACGTCACAACTGTGCCGCGACCACCCTGTGCTGGGTTTTTAAAATTGTAATTTTTTGGGAGATTTCCCCCATTTACGGAGATGAGGGTATTTTAATCAATTTTTGAGGGTAATGTCTTTGACAAGAGAAATATTAAAATGTATGCAACTCTTAAATATATTTTATAACCGTTATATAGTTGTATTTTGAAAAGAAAGTCTTTATGAGAAATTATTGTCTTTCAACAATGCATTCCTGACTTCTATTGCTTGTTATGATGCCGTTGTAAGCGCGCCAAATTTACCAACACTTTCCAGTTCCGATTCACCTTTGAAATTTGGAGTACGGATATCTTATTTTATATTTGAAATTTATTTATTTATTGTTAATTTTTGCACTATTTTTTTTGCGCAGTTTGTTGTAAAATTATGAACAATAAAAAAAGTATTTCATATTGCAAATGTGATGTGAAATGCTGTAAAAATAGAAATTCGGTACATTTAGGACTTTGAAGGTATGAATATTTAAATTAATTTCGGTATTTTGTTGTATTTTTTTAACTAATAATTAATTTTTTAATATATCACAAAAAGTATTTTATAATGTTATATTTTTCTAGGCTTCTAGATGTGCGATGTGAATTGAGAATTGTGTTCCCGAACTTACTGACAAGAACGTTGTCCTTAAATATGCTCGAATATATTAGGATCATTTTGAAGACAAAATGTTTCTGAACGTTAATCTTAAAAAGTCGTGGTAGTAAATGTGTAGTAGCACATTAGATAGAATCGAATTATTTAATCTGCAATAGAGTTAAAAAGACTGATAGATTAAAGATTAAATGTAGTAGATCAAAGATAGATACAATATATAACAATAAATAGTACATTGAAAATGTTTAAATTTTCGCAAATCCATTAATATGCATTGACTCGCGTGTTACACGCATCACCAATTATTTGATACAATAATTATAGTTAAAGGCGCTGTACAATAAATAAATTCCTTATATGTTGTGACACGACTTACGTCGCAAAAAAAGGTAAACGCGTATCGCAGTGAAGGCTTCAAAACTCACGTTGTTTATTGGGTGATCTAAAGGGTGAGTGCGTGTATTCCAATTCCATGGGTTCCTCCCCTGTTCGCTGTTTCACCGCTGCTGATTTGGATGTTGTTACCGCTGCTAATATTGTTGTTGTTGCTGTTACTGTGCTGTTGCTGCCGTTATTGTTGTTACCGCTATTTTGTTGTTAAAAATGATATCTCCTCCATGTTTGATGCTAAGGATGGTGGTGTCAGCCTCTATTTTCGGGCTGGCACTAGTAAAGTGAGTGATGTGTGTTCAACGACCGTTGTGCGCCCCACCGTATCATTAAAAACGTAGCGCAGTTTTTCACTAACTGTTCGCGCGTGTGTGGGTCGCCTGCTATATCTAGTGTTGATAGATCTACATTGGGTAACGTATGTCGCTTTCCAACAAGCTGTAGTGCGTCGCGTCACGCCCAAGTGAATTGTACCTGCAGCGTAGTCCCAGGAGACTTCCTGTTCTGTTAGAAAGTCGTGTCCCAGGAGTACGTCACAGTACAGATTCTCTAAAATAACAGCCGTGAACTTTACTTGTAGATCCGCAATTTTTGTTATAAATGTAGCTGTGCCGGCCGTGTCTGCTGTGTGACCGTCAGCAGACCTAACTGGGGATGTTTGTCCGTTGTGTACAATTCCAAATTTGTGAGCTATTGCTCGAGTGGTATACGATTTTTGCGCTTAAGAGTCAAGTAAGGCCGTCACAAAGCCGTTGTCAAATTCCAGCTCCAAAGCGGGAGTAGTTATTTTACGCGGACGTGTTTGTGCGGCTGTAATCAGGTGGTTAGCGGTTCGAACGGGGGGCATTGAAACGGTTTGTTCGCCGGCAGTATTAATTGCCATAAGCGGGTAGGCCGTTCCTGCCGTATTCCCCTCCCCCCACGGTGACCAACATATCGTTGGCCCGAATCGCGCTATAATCGTTACCTATTGCGTCTACGATCGTATAACAAGTATTTTGAATAACCTTGTGGTCCTCATTGTGGATGAGGGGTGTGCTGGTGGTGAGTTGTGGTGCTACAGCATGACCACTATAATGACAGTAGGGTTGTAGGGGTGATGGTGAAGTTGATGTGAAAGTGGTGTGGTTGTTTTTAAGGTTATATAAAATAGTGTAATTTTGATCGCAAAAAGCGCATTCGTTTTTGTTACCAATGTTGAATGAACGGGCGGTTTGGTCGGCGCGCTGATTGATATGATGATTTGGACGAAACTGTATTTGAAAGCCCGGAGAATGGACTAGTTTCTCCGTGGCTACTGTCCATTCCCGGCACTGTCGGTCTATTAGGACATGCGCTTTGCCAGTGATCGGCTCCGCAAAATCGACCTGGTCGGGGGGTGGGGACGCGGGTCGGGCGATGCGTAACTAGTACGGTTGGTTTCCGCCGTTTCTCGCGTCATCTGTGCAGTGGCGAACGGATTACGTATGGACTCGTTATTTAAATCGCGACTTGTAATTGTGTGAGATCTCCTGCGTAATGCGGGACAGTGCTCTCTCTACTTCTGACATGCGCGCTTCCATGCGTGTGTTAAGAGATATATCGCGTAAACTTTGTCTTAACGCGCCTATCTCCTCCGTTGCGTGGGATATTGAACGCACCATATACATGTCATCCCTATACGCTGCGTTCACACTACCGTTGGGGCGACCGGTTACCTGGGACCATTCGTGTAGAGACTCTGTTTCGGAATCCTCTAGCGCCAGGTTAACCGGTTGGTCCGCTTTATCGCTTTTATATCGCTTTTCGTCGTGGGTCCATTTAGCTGTCTATAAGCGCATTCGCGCAATAATTCCCAATGATTCATTTGAGACAATGTTTTACCTGACATAGTGAACGTTCCTTACCGTATTTTGCGAAAATTAACAAAAATAAATAAATGAAACGCAAGCCCTTATTTATTTTTGTTATTCAGAAATACGATGTCGTCGATCGCGATAATACGCACTATGTGTTCGCGTATGAACGTCAACAATGCCGGTCGTTTGTATTATTATTATTGTTGTTGTGCAACTATTGTAGTATGGCACATACGATACTAAATAGTATATGAAAAAGAAATTATTACGATAGGAGTCGTATAATCTTTATGATTGTGAAGGACGGAAATAATAATACAAACGATTTTATGGGACCCGGTTGTTAGATGTAACGATCGCTATGGTATGATAACGTATATGATCACCCTACCTGCCTAGTGGATTATCGAAACAGATAAACGGTTGAGTTCGCGGCGATGTGCGACTCAAGGTCGTCAGTGCGCGTATTTGTGTAAATACGTAATCGCTAGAAATCCACTTTTATCGTGTTTAAAAATACACCGAAGTTGGAAATCTACTATTCGCGAAGTAGATAGTATTTATATGACCGGGTGGGTAATGCACTGCGCTTAACAGTAAACTAAAAATTTAAAATAAACCGTAGCACAAAAACGGATAAGGAAACCTAGCTGTCTCTTTTATATATATAAAAAAAAAACAATAAAATAAAAATCAAGTCAGCTAATGGTTTTCTTACCTTAAAGTTAATCCGGTTAAGATCCAAGCCGGGGAGCCAATTGTTGAGGGTAGGTTGATGCTTAAACGCAAAAAAAAAAGAAACAAAGTACACGACTTTAGATTCACTGGTGGTGACACGGAGCCATCAATAATTATAATATTCAGTTGCTGGTAAACACAATTAAGACAAAGAGTAAAAGAACGTTGTGAAGAATCGATAAAGTTGCCCGATAAGTAAAAGGAGGTGTCACGAAGATGACTGATAAGTTATTATTTCGGCGGCTTTTGGACGCTAGCCGTTAATTGAATTTTACACCACGACAATAAGGCGTTGTGTCACTGATTTCAGGTAGGTTCGGGTAAATCTAAAGTTATCAATAAATCAAAAAGTGCACCATTTTATTTTTTTATCTGTGATCATACTATATACTAATATTATAAGGGATAACAAACTAAAATACGAATCAAATTATTGTTTTAATAATAATTATTAATATCATTGAATAATTATTATTCAAAGATTTATGAAATAATTATTTAATTTTGATTAGTTATAAAGTATAAATATAAATAATAAACACTTATTGATTTTCTACTTGTATTGGCGTTGGAGGTTATGTTGCATCTGTTACTTTAAATTCTAATTCTAAATTCATAAAAATATGTATAAGACATTAATTTTAAATTATTATTATTTTTTTTTCATTTTAAATACCTAGTTCAATTAGCTCCTGCGGTATTGGTATAAATGTTTCTTCAGTGATTGGATCAAATTTAAATCCGAGTTTAAAATACTTTTCTTTAATTACTGTACTGACATAACCCTTAATTTTTCTACTTATGAATTCTAAAAATACTAATTTTTCACTTTGTCCAATGATGACTTTATGCTCTTGAACCCATTTGTTCCATAAATAATTTATATCATAAGTTACAAAATTACAATACAATGTAGATTCATTGTTTATATCAAATATTACTTTTTCAGAAAATGAATATATATATTTTAATGCCTCCAAGTATGAAGATATATTATAACGAGTTAAAGTTAGTTTGTTTAATTGGTTAAGGATATTTTCTATTCTCTCAAATAAAGAGCTGAATATATAGGGTGGTTTATCAATAGTAACCCATGGTCTTTTATGCAATAAATCTAGAGCGTCCATGGCTCCTTTCATCAATGTGGTCATTGGAACAACTACTTTGGATATTATGCTTACGAATTTTTCTGTGCAAATGTATCCATTTATTAAGCGTTTCTCTTCTTTAATTATATTTTCACAATTTTGTATAACGTTGCTAATAACTGAAAAAAGATTATTCATAACTTTTGCATATGTACATCCAAGATATATAGTCAAGGCTCTTACTTTTTGATTGCATTTATCGATATGTGTAGGTATTTCAATCAGAGTATGAGGATAATGATAACTACTGTAATAGTTTATAAAGATCAAATCATTTAAATTTTTCCATCCCGAAAACATTAGTAATGTATCTAACTGAATTAATGATTTTTTTAAACCTTTTTCTGCTTTTGTATATAAAATCATATGAAATAATAAAATGCCAAACTTGTAAAGTTTTAATGAAAACATTGTAAAACAATTATGATTGAAATTTCTTGAAAAAAATATAATTTGATAAAGAGTTAGAAGACACGTATTCGTTCTGTTTTATATTTATAAATAATAAGATAAATATTTATGATAAAACATCTGGCGTAAATTAATAAATGTCTTTAATTTTTTAATTTAGAATTATTCAACTAACTAAATATTTGCTGACAAATTATTCAAGCCAGAAAAATCTTTTTGTAAAAAGTCGTCAATATTATTAAAATTATTTACATGTACTATTTTATGTGATTTTATTTAAATTTGAGAGGTAACGACTTGGGCCACGCAACGGTTTGTGGAGTCGCCACACTCATGGCTCCCTTGCAATAAGTAGAGTTGGGTCACCAACCACTTATGCAAGGAACATGATTATAAAAAAAAACATCAGGACAATATGTAGATTTAAAACAAACGGTAGCACAGTGGGGTCGAGACACAGTGTGGACGAGGAATAGATGGAACAAGTATAGATGATATCTATTTCATTAAAGGGGTATGATCCGATTTACAAAAAAAGCATGCCAGATGAAAAGGGTATATAAATATTTATTATAAAAAAATAATAATATTGATCCATACATTTTTCCAAAAGTTATAAAAAATATAAATTAAATAATATAACATATAAAATCGAGAATTTTTTCACGGAAATCGTACGTTTTTCTTTAACTTTGATGTCCGTTTTCACCACGAAGACAAGTCCAGAGGTCAAATTTTTTTTTTTCAAATTAAAGTATATTACATAAGCTTTAATTTAAGATATATATAAAAGTGTCAGTCTTTCCGGAACATTTTCAAAAGTTAAGTTGAAAAAGTTCTACTTTCTATACGCATTTTAAAAGGTTTGCACCCCCCCTGTATAAAGGGAAATGGTCCGATTTTAAAAAAAAGTATGTCGAATGAAAGAGGTAAATATAAAGTATTTATTTTTAAAGAATAGAATTGATTCATGCATTTTTTAAAAAGTTATAGCATCATATTGTTAAAAAAACCAGCACAGGGGGGTCCTGGCACAGTGGTGACGTGGCATAGTTGGATTAAGTATAATGATATCTGACAGTGATTAAAATCACTATCAAAATAAAAGCGCTTCAATGCAAATCTATAGATAGTGTTTAATTTTAATATTCCGAGGTCGAACATATATGTTGGATTAAAGCTTATGTTACAACTGTAACTGATATATGACTGATATACTATGTGCCAATGGCTGCCGTATTTAAAAAATATGTTATTATTGTGTTAAAATGTTCAATTTCATATTTTTTTTCAACTTTATATTGCTATAACTTTTTGAAGAATGTATGCATTATTAAAATTTTTTTTTTAATGGATTATATTTTTTATCTGACATACATTTGTACTTTAATTTAAAATATCGNATTTTTTATCTGACATACATTTGTACTTTAATTTAAAATATCGTATAAAGGAGAGATTGCAGTGATGGGGTTCCCTATTTCATAAATATTATGTGAATGAAATTTACATTAAATGTAAGTTTCATTAAATTTTAATGATTTATAAGTATAATACTGAAAAATAATTTTTATAGTAATTAGATTTAGAAATGAAGTTGAATTATTCAATAATTTAGTAATGCTAGTTTTTTTTTATTTTTATCATTACGCATTACTCTCCCACGATCTTCCTCCACTCAATATTAAAAAACCCAGCACAGGGGGGTCGTGGTACAGTGGCGACGTGGCATAGTTGGATCAAGTATAATGATGTCTGACAGTGATTAAAATCACTATAAAAAAAAACGCTTCGATGCAAATCTTTAGATTGTGTTTAATTTTAAAAAATTGGTGGATTATTCCAAAAGCTTCATAATCTGCTAGTTCCTTATTAATATCCTGATTAAGATAAAGTATGTCGAATNTTGAACGATCAAGAAACCAAATAGTACATCTTACAGAAACAAAAAAAACATAATGCAATCCATTGTTTCAAACGTAAATTCGTCACTTATCAATCTAGAACAATCGAAAATAAGTTTAGAAGTAAAATATAATTTCTTATTTCGAGAAGTAAACTCTACTATTCGAGAAATGGGAGTTCTTCAATTTGAAACAGAGTTGACAGAAAAAATTATGTTGCTCAATCAAATAATTAATTAGTATGCGTATGAAACCCAGAATTTGGTTAACATTATAATTTCCGCAATACAAGGATTATTACACCCTATTATCATGAATACCAAATCGTTGATAGAACAAATAAAAATAATAAAGTCTCATTTACCTCTAAATGTAATCATCCCTAATAGTTGGTTAGTATCTGGAGTATCAGAACTATTACACTTGATAAATATAAATGTTGTATATATTCAAAATGCCTTAATTTTTAAGTTAAAAATCCCTTTAGCTAATAAATATGAATTAACTTTATATAAACCAATCGCATGACCGACAAAAACTCACGATAATATATTTGTTGTAATAGATTATCCCATGGATTATATAGCAATAGAAAAATCTAGATTGTATTATATAGAATTAAATATAAAACAATTAAATTCATGTAAATATATAGGTGAAACAATATTATGTCCTTATGATCAACCTATTTTTAGTATAAATAATTCATGTCTTGCAAAATTATTTAGACAACCAGATGTTTTACCTAAAGAGTGTATTTTAAAGTATGTAAAAATTAATCATAACATTTGGCATAAATTAGAACATGTAAATTCATGGTTATACGTAGTTAATAAGGGTAGTATAGTTATTAAGTGCAATCAAATTGTTCAACCAGTAACGTTAAGTATATCNTCGAAAATTAGCGATTTTTAAATTTGTAATTTTTTTGGAGGTTTCCCCCATTTACGGGGAACGAGGGAATTTTTTTCAATTTTTAAGGGTAATGTCTTCGACTAGATACGATTTGTGATCTTTTGACGTATCATTGAAAGAAATCGGTTCGGTGAGAGCTGAGAAAAAGTGGTAACTGACAAAAAAAAAAAAAAAAACACATCTTAGTAAAACTAATACCTTCTCAGCTTCGCATCGAAACTAAAAACAAATTTCGGACTTTATTTTGTCTTCACGATGAAAATGGCTACCAAATGCTATTATTGTGTGAATATTCTCAATTTTATTTTTTACATTTTTAACTTTATAATGCTTTAACTTATTGAAAAGTGTATTGATCAATATAATTTTTTTATGGGAAATTCTATTTTTTAATAATACCTTTTTCATTCGACATACTTTATCTTAATCAGGATATTAATAAGGAACTAGCAGTTTATGAAACTTTTGGAATAATCCACAAATTTTTTAAAATTAATCACTATCTAAAGATTTGCATCGAAGCTTTTTTTTTTGATAGTGATTTTAATCACTGTCAGATATCATTATACTTGATCCATCTATACCACGTCACCACTGTGCCGCGACCCCCCTGTGCTGGGTTTTTTATTTGATGCCACCAGTAGTGTTATACATTAGTATGTTGAAGACCGTTACCTTAAAACTTGGGAGAATTATTAAATTTAATGTTCGTAACATCAGAATTAACGTGCTAAACCAATGATGGGTCCAGGTAATTACTAAGATGTATTCTCAATTCCTATTTGTAAAAAATTATTCATTTCCACGAAAGATGTTCTATTATCCACGATGAATTATAGTGGTTGTAAATAAAATATATAATAAATTCTATTATTTATTAATTATATTATAGAATATATTGTAGCAATGATAAATTATATTATTACAAAGTTGATTATCGCAGGAATCAATTTTATTCAAAATTTCGTGGAAGAAATAATAGAAGTCATGAGATCAATTTATCGTTTTATTGTTATATGGACCGGCATTATACTTTTCGTCGTTCTACGGTCTAAAAATGTTTAGTCAGAAACATTATTATCCGATATTTTATAATCGGACAATATCTTTTCCGTAACTATATACAAACATTTTTTAAATTTTAATAGCAAAATTTTACATATTTTTATTTTTTATTTTTTTTAGCGGGATTTTATACAACTACATAATCCTTCTACCAACCTTAATTTTAATTTTTATAGATAAATTAAAAAAATGAAAATCCACCAAAATTAATTTATCATCCGATATTTTCTAAAATTATTTCGTATTAACTATTAGACTTGTATAATTTTTCTAATCTAACAAATCATTTTACTAATTTCGTTAAAATAATAAATTAGATTAATCAATGAAGAAAATTTTTTAAATTAAGATTGAAAAATTATTAAAATTTAAAAACTAAGGTGCAGAAAACAACTTAGAGTAATTTTTTGGTAATCAACAGACACATTTAATGTTTACAAGTTAAAAATAAATTATGTATACACAGCGCTTATATTAACGCTGACTAAAAATCAATATGTATATATTGCATTGTTTCTTAAATATATATATACATTGGATCATAGTTACAATTCTAAAAAAAGTATTATAAATTATTTCTATACTTAGCAAAAATATGTTAAATTTTAAGGTTGAAAGGTTACAAATGTTATAAAAAAAATCGAATTAATTGGCCGCAACGAAAAAATTAGTAACTTTCATGGCGCATTAAAAAATGAATAAGAAAAAGGTCGCCGACCCACTGGGCGAGACAATGTATTGTCGGACCACAGTAGGATTTTAAAAATAAATTAAATTTTGTACATTAAAACAATTTAAATAAAAATAGAAAAGTGTTATAGATTGAAGTCGATGTCCGTTGAGTCGTTGATAGTAGATGTACACCAAAACCTCGTGACAGTTGTCACATAACCATAATGATGAGGGATGACCTTATACAAGGCCGTTGCCCGTACCTTATAAACTAAGGGGAGTTGATTTTTTAAAGGAAAAAAGATAAAAAAAATACACGAGTCTATTGAAGATGGAACCCGCAAAAAAAATTAGATGATAGTTAAGTTAAATTAAGGAGACTTTATTAAAACAAAAAAACAAAAAAAAAAATTAAGTTAATACGAGACAAAAAACCGAACGGTCAAATAACCTCGTCTACAAATTATAGGGGAACAGAGAGAA